TACTATATTACTATAAAACATCTTATATATTACTATAAAACATAATTTATTCCAAATACTCCAAGATCCAGATATATACTCCATTTTAGGGGTACCTTAGTCCTATTGTGCTATCATAACAAAAACACCATAAACTGGTAGCATATAAATAACAAAAAATGTCTTTCTCACAAAAATATCTTCTGGAGACTGGAAAGTTCAAGGTGAGGGTGTTAGACCATCTGGTATCTGGTGAGAGATTGTTTCCTGGTTTAAGGAGGACATCTTCTTAAAGCATATCAATACACAGTGGAAGAGGCTAGCTAACACCTCCAGGGGTCTCTTTTATAAAGGGACAAATTGAGTTCATGAGAATGGAGTCCTCATGACCTAATCACCTCCCCAAAACCAATCCTTCTAATACTATCACATTGGGGACCAGGTTTTAATGTATGAATTTCAGGGAACACTTTGAGACCCAGAAAGTGGTGTTGCACATTATTGTGACTGCAACAGTTTCCATGTGTACAAAACTTGCTAAAGGAGTAATCCATTTGTTTTTCAAGGGTCAAATGAGCATGCTCTTTGCCTTCAAGCAAGATCACCTCTCTGGTTAGGCATCAAGGAGCTACAATAATTGTACCAATGGTGGAAATTTGATCACTGGTAAAAGATTACTTACCACCAGGACTTCTCCTTATCCCCAACTATAAGAATCATACATGGTAAGAATCAGAAACTCCATTCCCCACCCAATTTCAGAGAAAGAAAGATTATCTACTTTCTTTCCAGGCCCTAGTATCTTGTGAGAGCAATAAAGACACAGAACTGTGTTGACTATATCCTGTTCAATATGAGGGATGGGTGTCTAAAGCCACCCACTTTAAAAGTTCCATGTTGGTCATTTCTATCTTTAATGCACAATTAAGCCTTCTTCTCTTTGCACTAATGTTGCAGGGATGACCCTATCTTTTTTTGACTCTCAACTTTTGGAGGGGAAGGGATATGACAGTTTATTTTAAACTTTTTTTGGATGAAGGTAGGAAAGCATCTTTCAGTGTTCCTAAGAGTAGAACAAAAGTCTTTTGATCCTTCATTTATTGAGTAGTTTGTGGTCAAATTTGTCTCCACATATACATTACCCCAGACATCACGGTAAACATGATGTTCTCAGATGTGTGATCTGGCCTTCATTCTCAAGGAGCACCTTGCACAAAGCCAATTGATAGAATGAATGAATTTGGTCTTTCCGTCCTGTTCACCAAGCCGTGGACCATGTAATTATCAGCCTGAGAGAAGCGGATATAATAATTTCTCTTTCCAGAGAGCAATTGATACTGCTGACTATGTGTGACCTTTACTAGAATGGTGACATCAAGGAGACACCGTGAGTGGACCTCACTCATCACGATTATGAGAAATGGGTTCTGGAAAGATCACTTAGCAATTTCAAATACTGAAAATAAATATGCATGACTTACTTTGTCATTTTCACATATGTGAATAAGTAAGTTGACTGCATGTCCGCCCACCAACAAAAGCAAAAACTTCATAGTTTTACATGTTGATCTTACTACAATGTCAACTTCTATAGGTGGTCTCAGCAGACAAAGAAAATAAAGGTCTGATATTCATTGCTTCGTCAGCTTTGACAGATTTGCTTCCATATATTTGGATTCCCTCCAGCCTTCACATTTAAAACTCAAATATGTGTATATAATTTACAACTACTTATCCTTAAGGATTTACCATAAAGTTATATTGCTAAATATTAGACCACTTTTGGAGGGAGTATATATTAGTAGTGAAAAAATAAGGACTTTTATGGAGATTTATTATAAATCTATGGTGATTAAGACATTGATATTTTCATAGAATAATCAAAATAGAAAGCCCAGAAACATCTATACATGTAAAAAAATTGGATATATATATAGAGAGAGTCGTTAGGGTTTGTGTTTTATGAACAGCAAATTATTCAATAAGTGGGGCTAAATTATTCACAGTTTTTTTAAAAAAAACAGCATTGGAACCTAATTTACATCATATACTAGATTGGCATAAATTTAAAAGCATGATGATCACAAGTGTTGGCGATGAAATGGAAAAAATATAGAATCTCTAAAATGCCACTGATGGCATGACTTTTTAAATTTCTACAGAAAATTATTCGGCTCTTTTTAGTAAATTTGAAAATGTACATATCCTACAATCAGCAAATTCTGTCCCCAACCATCTACCCTAGAGCAGTAGTTCACAACCTTATCAGGTCCAATGTCCTTTTTTTGTTAACACATATTTTATAATACCTTCTTTACTATTCTTTAATGAAATTCAAAATCCTATAACTAACCTACATACTTAATTTCAAAAACTCAACACAAACCAGAGAATCAAGAATCAGCTATGAAGCAAACTAAATTGTGACATGATTTTGAGCCACTGGTGGAGCATAAGCAAGAAACTTGTCTTTCTATTGGCAATAGAAACATTATTCTTTGGAAAGTATTTCATTCATAAAAAAGGAAACATAATTCTAGACGACTACCTGACTTTTTAAATTAAGGATATTTCTAGATCATAAGAATTACTTAAAAGTCAACATGACAGCAAAGTATATTTTTAAAAGGAAATTGATTATAAAACAATATTATTTTCATATCTAAGGGCTTGGTCCTTGTTTTTAAGAAAGTATACTTTTTATCTTGACAAATATACATAAGATGCACCATTAATTAAGGGTGCAGCTCAGTGGCACTAAGTGCATTCACATGGTTGTGCAACTATCACCACCATCCATCCCCAGAACTTTTTAATCTTACCTAGATGAAACCCTGCACTCCTTAAACAATTACTCTCCATGCTCTCCTCAACCTCTGGTGACCTACATCCTACTTCCTATCCCTATGACTATGACTAATCTAAGTATCTCATAGTACACAATTTATATCTACTTTTTGAGACCTTTATTTCACTTACCATAATGTCTTCAATTTTCATTCATGTTGAAGATGGCAGAATTACTTTCCTTTTTAATGCTGAATAATATAAATTGTACATAATAGCCACTATACTTTGTTTATCCATTTATGTGACACTAGACATTTGAGTTGCTTTTACCTTTTAGCTACTATAAATAATGCTATGGACATGTATGTAGGTATAAGTATCTATTCAAGTCCCTGTTTTCAGTTTTTGGGGCAATATACTCAAAATCAAAATCACTGAATCACATAGCAATTATTTTTTCACTAGTTGAAAAATCACCACACCATTTTCCATGCTACAGCATTTTATATGTCCACAAGAAATGCACGTGGGTTCTAATTTTTGCCACATCCTCACCCAACACAAATTGTCTGCTTTAAAAAAAATATAACGGTTATGTTAGGGGATGTGAATGGTATCTTATTGCAGTTCTGATTTGCATTTTCTAAGAATTTGTGATCTGCATCCTTCCATGTGTTTGTTGGTCACTTGTATATCTTCTATGGAGGAATGTGTATTCAAGTCTTTTTAACTCTTTCTTTTTTAATTAATTTATGTATTTAGGCATATATGACAGCAGATTGCATTTTGATTCACTGTACACAATTGCAGCACAACTTTTCATTTCTCTTATTGTTCATAATATAGCATCACACCATATGTGCAGTCATACATGTACCTAGGGCAATGATGTCCATCTTATTCCACCATCTTTCCTGGCCCCATGTTCCCTCCCCATCCTTCCCTCCCCTTTGGGATCCATCAAAGTTCCTCCATTTTTCCCATGCCCCACCTCTGTTATGAATCAGCATCCATTTAACAGAGAAAACCTTCATCCTTTGTTTTTTTTTATTGGCTTACTTTGCTTAGCATTATATTCTCCAACTCTATCCATTTACCTGCAAATGCCATAATTTTATTCTCTTTTAATGCTGAGTAATATTCCATTATGTTTATATAACCTAGTTACCCTAGTTTCTTTATCCATTCATCTATTGAAGGGCATCTAGGTTGCTTTCACATTTTAGCTATTGTGAACATTGATGTGGCTGCGTTAGTACAGTATGCTGATTTTAAGTATAGACCAAGGAGTGAGATAGCTGGGTCAAATGATGGTTCCATTCCAAGTTTTCTAAGGAATCTCCATACTTTCCAGATTGGTTACACCAATTTGCAATCCCACCAGCAATGTATGAGTGTGCCTTTTCCCCCATATCCTCGCTAACATGTTTTGTTGTTTATATTCTTGATAACTGCCATTCTGACTGGAGTGAGATGAAATCTTAGAGTAGTTTTGATTTGCATTTCTCTAATTACTAGAGATGTTAAATACTTCTTCATATATTTGTTGATCGAGTTTATATTTTCTTCTAAGATCTATCTGTTCAGCTCCTTAGCCCATTTATTGACTGGGTTGTTATTATTATTATTATTATTATTATTATTATTATTATTATTTTGGTGTAAAGTTTTTGGAATCCTTTATATGTCCTGGGGATTAGTGCTCTCTATCTGATGTGCATGTGGCAAAACTTTGCTCCCAAAATGGAGGCTCTGTTTTCACCTCATTGATTCTTTTGCTGAGAAGAATCTTTTAAGTTTGAGTCCAACCCATTTATTAATTCTTGATATTATTTCTTGCACTTTAGGAGACTTGTTAAGGAAGTTGGGGCCTAATCCAACATGATAAAGATTTGGGCCTACTTTTTCCTCTATTAGGCACAGGGTCTCTGGACTAATTCCCAGGTCCTTGATCCACTTTGAGTTGAGTTTTGTGCATGATGAGAGCTAGGGGTTTATTTTCATTTTGCTGCCTATGGATTTCCAGTTTTTCCAGCATCATTTGTTGAAGACAAGATTATTTGAAGGATTTTCTTCTCCTTTTGCTGTTAATAGGAGCTATTTATAGTCTGTGTATAAATTCTCCATCAAATATATGAGTTGAAAATTTTTTCTTCCATCCCATGTGTTTTAGTCAGCTTTTTCGTCTCCATTAAGGAAAAAAAAAAAACTGACAAGGAAGAAAAAAAAACTGTAGAGGAAGAAAAGTTTATTTGGGGCTTACAGTTTCCGAGGTCTCAGTCAACAAACAGCTGACCCTATTTGCTCTGGATCCAATGGGAGGCAGAACAGCATGACAGAAATGTGTGGAAGAGGAAACCAGCTCAAGATATGGCAAACAGGAAACAGAGAGCTCTGCTCACCCGGAACAAAATAAAAAATCCCAAAGGCATGTCACCTTCAGCCACACTCTACCTGATTGCAGTTATAGCCCCATTCATCTATGTTAATGAACTAATCTACCAACTAGGTAACCCAATCATTTCACCCCTAAAAATCCTTGCATTGTCACACACATGAGATTTTGCAGGACCCCACATATCCGAACTACAAAATTCTGCCCCCAGCCTCTGAAAGTTCATGTCCATCTTACAATTCAAAATATACTTAGTCCATTTCCAAGAGTCTTCATAGTTTTGGGTTTTAGCATGACCCAAAAGTCCAAGTCCAAAGTCTCTCCTGGGACTCAAGGGAAATTCTCAGTGGGATCCCCTGTAAAAAACCAAAGCAAGTTGCATATATTCAACATATAATGGCACAGAGTAAACATTCCCATTCCAAAAGGGAGAAAGAGGAACAAAGAAAGAAGGAATGGGACCAAAACAAGACTGAAATGCAGCTGGGCAAACAAGTCCTTCCTGTAGCTCCACATCCAGCATCCAGGGCACAAGGCATGGTGAGGTTCTCTCCAAAGGACTTGTGTAGCCCTCCCTCTGTGGCCATGTTGGTTGCAGACCGCGTAGCCTCTCTCTTAGCTTGTTTCTTTTTAATTCCTGCAGCTTTCCTTAGCAGACACCCTATTACTAATATATCTTAATCTCAGGAGTCTCTCCTAAAGCTTCAGCTTCCCTCTCACCATCTTCACCTATTGCTCCAACAGGGACAGCCCACAAGGGACTCCAGTCCTACTACACTTTGCCTGCCTTCCCAGGCCTTCCCTTGAAATCTTGATGGGAGTCTCCATGAATCCCTAACTCCACCAACCTGCCATCCTGCAGAAACCAGGATCATATGGTTGATGCCATGGTCTGCCACCCTCTTGAGCAGTAGCCAAGCCTTCTAGAGCCACAGCTGCAGCAGCCTCTGAGTGCCCAGATGGGTGAGCACAGCGGAAAAAACTTCCTAGGTACCCAAGTGCAAGCATGGTGCCCCCACGGTCTCTACTCAAAGGAAATTTTACTTTTAACCTTGAACCTGAGACGGGTGTGATATTGCCAAACCCTAAGATGCCCTCAAGCCATCTTTCCTATTGCCTCTTTGCTCAGTTCATAACATCTCTTAAAACAACCCCGCAACTTCCTTAGCCTGAGTTTTACTGCCACTTTTCTGGCCGAACTGCAATTTTTAAAAAATCTTTCGGCTCAGATTTCTGCTCCTGACTCTTATAGTAAACTTGGCTAAAAGCCACCAGCAATATTCATGCCACTGCCTGAATGCTGAGCTGCCTTGAAATTTCCTCCACCAGATTAATTAGTTTACCATCTTTAAATTCAACCTCACAAATAGTCTCAGGATGTGGGCATAGAGATAGATAAATATAAAAAAAATGGTCATGAAAATTGCTATGATTTGGTTCTTGAACGTCTCCCCAAAGGTTTTACTTCTTAAAGACCTGGTCCCCAGATAGTGCTCATAGGAGGTGGGGCCTAATGAAAGGCTCTTAGGTCATTGGGAGCATGCCCTTGCAGCAAATTTAGGAAATTTCCTTGTTTGCTTTGGCTTCCTGGCTAATGAGGTGACCCTGCCACATGTCCCCACCATGATGTACTGCCTTTCCCACAGGCCCAAAGCCATGGAACCAATTATGCACTGGAATCTCCAAAACCATGAACCAAAGTATATCTTTACTCTTTATAAGTTAATTATCACAGGTTTTTTTTTAATATTAACAGAAAATGAACACAGGAATGAATACAATTTCAGGAACAGAGGCTTTGGGAGAAGAGAATGAGATCAGGGAAGAATGTATTTGGGTATAAACTTTACTACTAATAGTTTATAACACAAGCTAGGTTTGAGACCATAAATGTTCAATATATTATACCTTATATTTTTATGTTAAAAATATTTCAAACAAATAAAAATAAAAGATTTTTGTAGTCTAGGAGTCTAAAGAGATCTAGTCTTTGAAACTTGGCTCAAAACTTACAAATTTATAACTTGAGCAAATCACTAAACTCCTCTAAATGTTAGTTTGCCTCTCTGTCAACTGGGGATAAAATAGAAGCTACAATAGAAGGATGGTATAGAAAGTTGAAATGACAGAGTATGTTTAAAGGTCTAGCATATTTCCTTGATACTAAGGAAAACTAACCTTTGTTCAAACACATCTTATATAGTCTTTGTGATTTTTAATAAACAATCTCATCCTACCTTCTGTCTGATCTATTGTCAAAATATGTCTATCGGCCCCTAGTGGAAACCGTGAATAGATGTATTCTAGTTACTTGTCAGATAACTCTCTGTTGTCCAAATCCTATCAAACCCCCACTTATGAGAATATATATTTATGGAGGATTGTCTGAAGGACACACTATTCGTCTATTCTCTAAAAATGATGAATTTTACCCTTGGATCAAATCATACCATCAGAGAGCTGCATATCTGGATGGCATCATTCTGATTGTTGTCAAATTTACTTGACAGAATTGAACTTTGCTGTTCCAATATTGGCTTGCATTGAGGGATGCTGCAAGAAGCCACACAGCAAACTTTCCTCTTGAATTTATTGCTGGGATGGAGTCCAGGATGTTATTCTCTGAATCAAAAGTGTTTTCTTTACAAAGACCCCAGGGAGAAATTTTTCTCAGCTCAGCAAGATGAAAACCTTAAACAACTAGGCTGCCTTTATCTTATGGACAACATGGATCTTTTAACTGATTATGTTTCCCTACTTACTTTTGTCTTCTGAAAATGCACATCCCAATCTGTAGTCCATCGCTAAATAATTTAGCACACATTCCTGAGAGGTAGGTAAATTTACTCCTGAATTGGTATCCTGTCCATAATATCTCTTTGCTCCAATGATTTATTTTCCATGGAGTTTTAGAGACTGACTCAAATTCTTTATGAAACAAAACAGGAAAGGAGAAAAGGGAAATATCAGGATAGAATAAAGGGAAGCCTGACATTAACAAGTAAGTAATAAAGTGGTAAAACCATGTCTTCTTTGCTGAGAGCCATAGCAGAGTCCGAATGATGCATGGCATTTTTGCCAGAATGGCATTTTTGCCAGAACGGAGTGGTTGAGAGGTGATGCCAGCAAGCCATTGAGATGATAATGGTTATGTTATGCTGTGTATATTAGACCCCTGCTGTCCGCCTCAGCCTGCTACTTTGGTACTTTGGAGTTCTCGCGGGGATTCCCGGAGAGTTCCCATTGGTTGGGGAAGTGCCGGAGGAGGGATTTCCAGTTGGTGGTTCCGGAAGGAGCCACGTGTGTGGCGTTCATGAGAGTTCCCGGGGAGCGTGTGTGGAGTGTGCTGGTGGAGTTCAGAAATAAAGTTTGTTCCTGCTTGAGTGGCTCGTGATTTGTGCCCAGCCAGACTGCAGCACTTCTTCACCTCAGTATTCTCCAGAGCACATTGCATAGAACCTTACAACTAGCATTTGGTTAATCAATATTTGCTACGGTGAAAAAAATATAAAACCTCACTGCCCCCAACCATTTCATTTCCTACTTGTGCATGGCATAAGGTTGGGCTGGAACTGAGAAAGGTTTGATGAACACCTCAAAAGCAAAAGAGAACACTTGAAAAGTTTTCAAGGGATGCTCAACATTTCCTAAAGGGATGTCTTAACTGCTTCTCAAGGTTAACTCAAATGCCACCAACCCCTGACTGGGAGCAAAGACCTCTTCATCCTCTGAACACCTTTAGAACGCACTATGCCTCGTCACTTACTTAGAATTTGTTTTATAACTTAATTTGAGATATAGATAGATAGATAGATAGATAGATAGATAGATAGATAGATAGATAGATAGATGATTGGTAAATATACAGGCAGACATTCAGGACGGGAAAAGACCAGGCTTGAGTATATTTCTTTGTATTTGTAAGCATATTAGCAATTATAATTTCAATATATATAACAATCATTTCCAGTAGTATGTAAATCAGCTTTCTGTTACTTCAACAAAATCCCTGAGATAACATTATAAAAAGAAAGTTTGTTTAGCCTCACCATTTTTCAGGTTCAGTCCATAATCTATTGGCCCTTATTACTTTGGGGGTCTGTGGTGAGGAATGCATGATAGCAGGAGCATATGTCAGAACAAAACTGCTCACCTCATAGCTGAGAAGCAAAAGGTAAGAAAGGAAGAAAATGCAAGGCCCTTTGAGACCTCTTACTAGGCTCCACCTCTTAAAGGTCCTACCATCTCCCTGTAGTGCTACCTTGAGGACCAAACCTTTAATACCTGGGTCTTTAGGGAGCATCCAAGATATAAACTATAGCAAGTAGATACATAAAAATCTATTTCATTGATTTCTTGATGAAGGCAAGAGGCAGAACACACAAAGCCCTTATCCTTATACGCACACAATAATATAGACTGTCAAATTCGTTGTGTTAAATGAAAGAAGACAAACTCAAAAGGCTACATACTTCTTGATTCCATTTATATGACATTCTTGCAAAAGCAAACTACAAGGATAGAAAACAAATTCGTGGTTATCAAGGGCTGAGGGGAGGGGAGAGAAAATGGGTACACAAGGGCATGGGAGAATTGGGAGAGCAAAAGAACTCTCCTGTATCTAGATTGTGTGGTGGTTCACAACTGTGTATGTATATTCATTAAAACTCCCAGAACTCTAACTTACAGAGTGTGGATTTTCCTATTTGTAAATTATACATAATTAAAAAGAATGGGAATAGGGATCCACTTCACTCAATATCTGCTGAAAATACTGAGCATAGTTTTCACTTCCTGAATCTGGTAAGTTAGCCCAGCTTCTAGTCCTCCTGTAAGGATAAGGGCTGTTCTGCCTCTAACTCTAAACCCAAAATAGATATTGCTAATCAACCATGGCACTTTTTTTCCACTGTGAGGCAGACAGAATCTCATGCAGGATCTTCACAAGAACACTCTAAACAGACACCAATAAGTTTTTAGAATTTGCATGAAATAAAAATCTGCTTTCTGAGGGGAATCTAGGTCATCCCAAACAGGTACTATCATTTTCTCAGTTATACCTCCACTTAGTGTAGGCATAATGCTTACAAAGAGTTAACTTAATTTCAGATGATTTTTCTTGTTTATCTCAGTATAGTACATATTTCTGAAAAGTAGGAAAAATACAAATATCAGCACAGGAACTCATTTTGACCTTTATATCCAGTGAACAGGGTTTGGAAAATACATCTTGAGCCGCACAAGTAGAAGATCAAGTGATCTTAGGATGTGAAAGCTATGAGAACTTAGGAAAGCTATGAGTACTGAGCTCTTAGGAGGTGACAGAACAAAACTGCTCTGTCACAAAGCAAGAGATTTGGGGTCAGAGAACCTGCTATCTTGGACCCTGAATCACTGTGTAAGCAGAGAATATGAGGGAGGACATAATAAAGTAAAAGCAGAAATTACAACAGATCCCATTTTGTCCTGGACTCCATACTGGACACAAAATGATGATCCAAAGAAAGAGGCTTCTCTGGCCCTGGGGATCTTGTAATCCAGGGAAGGTCATAGACATTAAAGAACTAGTCACACAAATAAATAGACAGAAAGCATTGAAAATACTATGGAAAAAAATGTACAGAGTGACATAAGAAAATAACACAGAGGAATAAATTGAGGTGGGCAGAGAGGAATATAGCAGAGTCCCTTTGGCATAAGTGGCTTTGATTCTTGAGGCCAGACAAAGCATAGGTGTTGACCAAGTGGGGTAGACAAGCAATTTCAGGAAAACAGCCTGTGTTTAGGTCCTGAACCGAGTAATGCACATGCAGCCTTGACTGATGGAACAACCATCTGTATTGCAGGCAAACATCATCCTAGGAATAAGATCACCCAAGCTCAGGGATCAGGTTGCAGAAGCCCCTATAGTCCACATGGAGGATTTTTACATACATCTTAAGAACACTAGAAAACCATGAAGTCAAGTCAAATCACTACTGATACCATAGGCCAACAGCCATGATAAACTTGAAAATCTAAAAGCTCTAAAGTAATCTCTAAAATGAGATAAAATCTAAAACTTAACAACAGGAGCTCCCATAGCATTTTATGTCCACTATTTGATTATCACTTGTCACAGTATTTGTGTCTCTCTTCTAGACCAAGAGCTTCTGGAGATCAGCAAGCACATTTCATGAATTACTTGATGCCCAGGATTTAAAGCATCGAAGGTGCTCAAAACATATTGGCTGGATTGAAATGAATTCGATGCAAATACAAAAGAAAGCTTCCCAAAGCCAATTTCATCCATGAATTCCATGTCATCTCCCAAAGTGGCTTTGGCTCGAAAGCTGAAAGTTATGAGTATTGAGAGAGAGGCAAAGTTTCAGATGCATCTACCTAAGGATAAAATAAGCTTTATGAAGCTGTCGTGAATATATGCTGATTTGGAATTAACTCTGAGAATTCTGTCACGGTTCCAGCCATGCAGAGCACAACAAAAGACAACGTGGAGATAAAAATTACAGGTTGCAAGGATTATTTTTGGAATTTGTTCAAAAGCCAAGACAAACACAGCAAGAGCACAAGAACAGCCAGCGAGTGACAAAATTTCCCCTCCGTGGATCAAGAAAGAGTAGGAAAGGGAATGACAACCCGAAGGCAGGGACTAAATGGAGCTAACCTTCTAAAAGGGGAAAGGTGTGTGGAGCAAGTGATAGAGCCTGACAGGGGATTTGGAGAGCTCTCAAACTAAGAAGCACTGACAGAAAGAAAAATGGGCAGTCGTAGCACAGAGGAAATAGTACCAAGGTCATTGTTAGAGGTTGAATTGTGTCCCCCTCCAAAAAAAATTCTTTTTTGGAAGTCCTAACTCTGCCTATCTTAGAATGTGACCTAATTGGGAGACAGGTCCAAAGGTATTAAAGTTAAAAGGAGGTCATTGAGGTTCACCCTAACCCAATATAGATCATGCCTCTTAAAAAAAAAAATCTGCATAGAGAGAAAACACCATGTGAGGACACACAAGTCCAGGAGAAAGACCTGGGGCAGACCTCCCCCTCATAATGCTCAGGAAGAACCCACCCTGCCAACAGGGCTGATCTCCAACTTGATTTCAAATCTCCAACCTCCAGAACTATGAGAAAATAAACTTCTATTGTATAAACTACCCAGGTGTCAAATTTTGTGATTACAGCCCTAGCAGGCTCATGCAGTCATCAATTTGAAAAGTCCTCATCTACCAGAGGATTTAAAAATGGAAGGGTTGGAGTTGGTAGATGAGGGGGATAAATAAGGTATCCTCGGGACCACATTTGCATGAAGGAGGTTATTCTTGCAGAGATGTGTCCACCAGAAACTGTACAAAAGTGAGGCCTAGAATGTTAATATTGGCAAATAACAATAAGTAAACAACAACAAGTTTTAAAACATGTATCACCTATTTACCTAAAATCCTTGGTTCTTACAAAAGAAAGTTGAATTATCTTATTGAGGAGAATAGGTGTCTCAGAGAAGTTTGGCTACTGGCCCAAGGTTAGACATAGCTAGTAAGAAGTGGAGGAAAAGAATCAGAGGATATCACCTTCTCTTTCCTCTCCCCTCCCACCTCCAGCTCCTGAAAGTATGGTGAATCCAGGGAAAACGTGGTGTCAGCAAAGTAACCAGAAAAATCTCTCTCAAACATAAGATTAATGTAAATTAGAAAGGATAGAGAATAGAATCTTTCTTAGGCCCACAGACTTTAAAGTCTATGTATAAGGGTTAAAGTTTTCTTCTTCCTTTACCCCTCCTCATCCTCCTCTCTCTATCTTACCTCCACCCCCACCATCTGTATCTGACTATCTATCTTTTACCTCCTAAAAGCAGACCCAGAAATAATTTATATGTTGCTAGATTTCTCTGGATAGCAAACTGAACCACATGACATAATTTCTTCCATTTATATGTGAAGATTTGCAGGAGGAAATGTGACCCGTGGAATAGAGAAGGAGAAGAATGAGGCTGAAGTACGCTGGTCCCAGCTTACTAACCATCAGACCCTGGGCAAGTCAGTTAACTACGCTGATCTTCAGTTTCTAAGTCTACCCCGAATGGCTACTTCCTGGGTCTATCAATTTAGATTTTAAAATATGAAAGAAGTGACTTTGGTTTCAACTCCAAAGGATAAAGAGCTTAGAAATCAGCATTCCCATCCTTGCGATAAGAAATCGCCCAATAGATTGTGAATTCGAAGGCACTTCTTGGAGATCGCCAACTGTCGGAATGGGAATAAACAGGAAAAAGAAGTCACTGGGATCTGCTTACCCAGAGCAGAAGCTGGCGGAGCCTGTCGAGCTGGTAGAGACACTGGATGACCATCTGCATGAATGGCTGAAGGTTGGAACTGGCTTAAGAGTGAGAAATTCCTGGAGGCTGTCATCTGTGGGTGGGGAGCACAATTTTCTGGTTTTATCTCCAGAAGTTTCACCAAGTACTCACAAAAAAGAGATTTAAAAAAAAAAATCCTCTCATGGCTCTAGCAGTGTGATGAGCATGAGATACACCAAAAGCCTTCTCCATAACACAAGCCACCCAGAGGAAAATCTGTCCCAGAGCCTTATCCACCTTGAGGAAGGGGTATTTCTCCAGCTGCATCCCCTCTAGTCTTCTCTCACCTAAAAGGAAAAAGAGAGAGGGAAAAAAAGCTAAAAACCAAAAACAAACAACAACAAAATACACACACACACACACACACACACACACACACACACACACCAGGTGTGGTGGTACACAACTGTAATCTGAGGGAAAAGGATAGCAAGTTCAAAGCCAGCCTCAGCAACTTAGCGAGATCCTAAGCAACTCAGTGAGACCCTGTCTCTAAATAAAAAATTAAAATTAAAAGGGCAGGGGTTGTGTCTCCGTGGTTAAGTGCCTCTGGGTTCAATCCCCAGTACAAAAAAAAAAAAGGAAAAGAAATAAAAAAAGAAGAAGAAGAAGAAGAAGAAGAAGAAGAAGAAAAGAAAAACCCCACAAAACTTTAAAAGCCACAGCCAAGGGACACAATTGAAAACTGAGATTTAATCATGGGATTATAGACTGCTTCCACACACCCCTGCCTTACTCCCACATCAAGACCCTGGTCAATGACATCATATTATGGCTGAAAGAGCTATGTGAGGAGGAATTCTTAGGGAAACCCAAAGATGACAGAGTGACTAAAAACAGGGGAAGCACTGGAGGAATCTGAAGTCTCTATTGCCTATAACTACAAGCTGACTCTGAACCAGATAAACACAAAACCTCACATGAGAGGCCTATTTACCTCAGGTCCTATTACTGAGTATGTAATTCTCTTTCTTTGTTTTTTTTTTTCCCCCCTTTGGTACTGGGAATTGAATTCAGGGGCACTTTACTATGGAGCTGCATCCCAAGTCCCTTTTTATTTTATTTATTTATTTATTTTTTGAGTCAAGGTTGCACTAAGTTGCTTAGAACTTCACTGAGTTGCTGAGGCTGGCCTCGAACTTGCAATCCTCCTACTTCAGGTTCCCGTCGCTGGGATTACAAATGTAGCATGTCATTTTCTGCCTTTCACCTAAAAGAAAAATTTTGAGGCTTGCTAAAACAAGACAAAAAACACATTCTGAAGATGTGAAGAATCATTAAAACACAAAATCCCAGAATTAACACACAGAAAATTTAAAATAATTATAATTCATGATTATTTTATATGTTATATAAAATATTTTATATTTTATATATGTTATTTTATATTCATATGTTAAGGCTTTTAATGGAAAATTCAAAACATTCAATATATAACTTTCCTATACTCATATATATGAATACATGACCAGTATAACTCCACATCATGTTCAACCACAAGAATGGGATCAAAATTGTAATGGGTTGCACCATTCAAAATACACCCTACTGTCATGATGAGTCATATAAGCAGAAGGGTGCAACTCTAAGAAAGAATAAAAAGTAAATGTAGGGGTTGGGGCTGTGGTTCAGTGGTAGAGCACTC